AGGTTTAGATTAGACATCCGTAGGAACTACTTCACAGTTAGGGCGGCTAGGATCTGGGACCAACTTCCAAGGGAAGTGGTGCTGGCTGCTACCCTGGGGGTCTTGAAGAAGCGGCTCGATGCCTACCTGGCTGGGGTCATTTAAGCCCAGTTTCCCTCCTGCCCAGGCAGGGAGTCGGACTTGAAGATCTACAAGGTCCCTTCCGACCCGACTTCTGTGATTCTATGATTCTATGATAAAGGTCACCCAGCCTTTGGCATATTGCTAGGAAGTTCAGCATGAAGGTAAATCTGCCTTCCAGAAGGCCATCCAGAGCATCCAAGCATTTTAATTATGGAAGTGAAATGATTGATGTGAAATGCCTCCTCCCCCCTGGTAAAAGTGACAGCCAGTGAAAATGCCACTGAGACTAGTACTTGGCATTAATCCCTTGGGATTTATTAACATGGGGATCTTTACTATCATGACTATTTAATTCTTTCCATAGATAGGTACATGCAGTTGAACCATGCCTTGTTTTCGCTTAATGGGCGGACTGGATATGTTCTGCAGCCTGAAACCATGAGAAATGAGGACTATGATCCAATGCCAAATGAATCAAAGAGGAAATTACAGATGATTCTGACAGTGAGGGTAAGTCTTTCCTTTCGTAAATATATTTTCGTTGCAAACAGCGAGTCTGTACGACTAAAAAATAAAGCTATTATATCTTCAGAGCCAGAGCTGTGACAAATTGCCAAAACATTTTATGTAAAGAGTCAGAGTATTTATAACTATAAAACTAATACCGTCACCTTCCCAGAAACAAAATGTGTTTCTCTTTGTCCTGTTAACAAAGCACACGCTATAGAGCAGAAGCAAGTGATGTTCAAGCCATTTATATAATAACTATTAAAAAAAAATCAAACTTACATTGACCTCCATTATTTTTCTTTGGAAAAATCCAATTAGAGACAGGTTAGCAACATTTTTACTAGGTTTCCATTGTGACAGAAATAAGTTTTTAATGAAAGAAAGAAACTGAGAAGCCAAAAATGTGACAGGATGGGGCGGGGGGAAGGGATGTAGCTATTTTGGTACACTCCATCTTGTCAGAATGTCATTTTTCATGAAGAAAAAGAGTTTATCATTTGAACACTACCCTGTAGTGTCTTCTGGTGCCAAATGGAAATTGCACTTGTTTCCTTTCTCAACTGCTATTCAGTAGGAGAGATGTTTTTCAAGATAGTATATTTTTTATAGGAAATGATGTCAAGGAACAGATGCACTTCTCACTGCAGTTTGGAGGAGAGGTAAAATCAGTTTGTAAAAGTGAACCAAAGTATAAGTGCTTTCTAGAAATAGTTATAAGGGCCAAAACCAGAGAACAAAGCTCCACCGTTACCTGCTCAGCTCGAGTGGAACGGGACATCCTATGTAATCATCCTTACGTAAGTTTGAGAGCTGGTGGAGGCACTAGCTGGGTTTTCATAGTTTTGCAGGCATGTTTTTACACCTGCAATTATTTTTGCCCTTGAATTAGGCAGAAATAAATGCCTGTGGTTGATAGCAAAGGCAGTCAAGGACAAGCATAGATACGAAACCCTTTCTTTGGGCAGAAATACTTATTGGTGCCAAGCTGCACCTCCAATTTTTTATGCTTGCAAAACAATAAAGGGCCAATTAAAAGCCAGTAGAAAATTTGTCCCATACACCTTTTTATACAAGCGAGTCCAAAGAGAGGAAACAAAGTGGTGTCTATAGCTACACATTTTTAACATCCTCAGAAGTCCGGTGTCTGAAAAGATGTTAAAGGTACAAAGTCAAGCTTATAAAAAATTTTGGATTTTACTGTATTAAAGTTGCCTGTTCAACCTGAATTCATCCCCTGCTTTGAGAAGGGATGATAGGGTAGCCAACCTGTAGCACATGCCATGACGCAGCAGATTGGGAAGGGAACAGGCAGCACAGCAGCAGATAGGGCAGGGAGCAGAAAACAGAGCAGCAGTTCAGGTAAAAGAAGAGATTTGCTTTGGCACTTGGGGAGGCACAGGGGCAATTCATGGCAGGCCTGCCCAAAGGATTGGCCCTGCTGCAGTATGATACAGTCTCTGTGTGATCCTGTAGTATTTTTCCGTAAGATCTGTGCCGTCTTCAGTGAGGGGTAGATAGGCAGCATTTCTTTTTATCCTCCTTGTTTCATGAAACATTGTATTTTCTGCAGTTCATTCAAAACCTAAATTACTCATTTCTTCCTGGGCACATCTTCGTTGCTACCATGGTAGTTCAGTGCGTTGCATATGCTAATGACTTTTTCTTCACGACATCCCTCTGAGATTGAGTATCATCATTAACCCCATTCCCTTCCTGGTAAACCAAGATATGCCAAGAGTAAGACCAATACAGTCAATAAAAAAAAAATTGTGTCTCCATCTTATGACGCCTAGGGCTTGATGTTTTTCCCCCCAGTAGCTTGAGTCCTTCATAATGCACAACACCCAATTGATGTTAAGTGTTTCCATGAAGGCCTGTTACTGTAGCGTATCTGGCTGCAGGTGTTTCATACCGGGTACACACAAAATAAGTAGTACAAAGCTATCGGCCAGTAGCGGTCATTTTGGTTTAAATGTCTTGATACTCCTGCCTCTGCAAAGAGCTCCTGCAGGATGCTAATCTAGTCTGTTGCATTTCTTTCACCATGAAGTCCTCCTTTTCCTGCCTCCACACATTCCATCTTCTGCAAGGTGCAACGCGAGGGTCCAAGGACAAGAGCTTCGGAAACTCTCCTTCCCTTCCATACTTCCACATCTAGCGGCTTCCTCTTCTCTGCTGCCCTGGGTGCCAGCAGCGTGCAGAAGAGACAGTCTCTGGTTTCAATTTCTGGTCCTCAGCAGCCTTAAGGAGCAGTTGCAGAAAAGCCCCCTGCAGCCCCTCAATCGTGGGTTGGGAATGGCCCTGGCACCCCCCAGTTGGCATGTAGCTGTGAGGGCACGGAGCGTGCTCCGTGGAGATGGACTCTTCTGAGAATTTGGCTGGACAAATTTTAACAAGCCTATTGAGCCTGTTGGTGGAGGCTGGTAGCGTGCCTGTATCTGGGCTTGCTTTCACAGGGTACATCCCTTCCACGAGGCCAATCCCTGCGCTGTATTTCAAGTGCCAGCTGCAAAGTAAAGCAGTGCCAGTGTGTTTCTCAACAAAATGGTTCTAACTTAAGAAAAAAAAAAATGTTTCCCCTAATTTAACTTCTGGGGATGGCCAGGCCACTTCAACTGAAAGTTTTATAAATAAAAATCAGTCTGAGGCAGCATGGAAAATCACTGCCAGACCATGATGTTTGGCAGAGAATTAGCAACCGAAATAAGGGTCTTATAATGGGGAATGCTGAACCACCTTAATTAAAGATGTTTTTACTTGTGTCACCAGCACATCTTATGAGCACACTTGGGAGTGCATGAGTGTAAGCCCTCCTGAGAGTTACTTCATAAGAAAAATTACCCCCTGTCCCTCCCCTTTGGTGGAACTGTATTTTATAGCTTTATAGACCATTGCTGTACAGACAAAAGGTGACTTTTATCTTTTGGAAATGCTTTCATGACCTGCCTTCTCCCGTATAGGTTCTAGGTGCTCGTCATCTACCTAAACCTGGCAGAAGTATCGCCTGTCCATTTGTAGAAGTGGAAATTTGTGGGGCCGAATATGATACGAACAAATTCAAGTCTACGGTTGTGAGTGAGTATCTGCACAGCCTTCTGAGTTGTGGATGGAGTTGTACTTCTAGACAATTCAAATCGAGTAAAGGATGCTCATGGTTGCATAACTATAATTTACCAGCAATGTATACAGGAGGGATAAGGTGACTTTATTACTCTTGACTGATGGTGCTTGCCTTGGAGCCATTTAATTTTATAACCTTTGCTATATGTCAGATTTAGGCAGGGAAACACGCAGGTCTTAAACTGTACCACAGTTCATAACGAGCCGCATTTGTTAAGTTTCTGGCTATGCCCGAGCTTGTATAATTTACATGTTTTTAAATTGCTTTGCCGAAAGTGTCTCTGAACATGCTCGTCCGCTTCCAAAGGTGCACTGCAGACAGAGAGAATAAGGCAATGTTGAGATCTCTGATTTAGATTGGAGTTCAAAGATAGATAATTGCTTTGGAGACAGTTTGGGCAGGAGGGGCATCAGCATGCAAAGCCTGGTCCCTAATCCAGGAAATGGGTACATTCCCAAAAGACCCTCGGACAAGGCTCTGTGTATACAAACCAGGTTCATTTTAATGTACCCAAGCTAAAGTGACCATCTTCTGGCTTACAGAATCCAGCACACAGTCCCGAACACTTTGCTGAATTGGCTTAGAGCAATGCTTCTCAGTTTTTCTGGGCTCAAGACACCCCGCCACCCCCATAACTTTTGTGAATTGAGTGGCACTCAACTTCAAAAAACTGATTTATATATTATAGTGCTTGCCTCCTTGCTGATGGGCCAGGCAGTGGGTGTGGGGGATTGGCCAGGCAGGGACAAGCTTGAGCCTGCACTTATCTGCTCATCTCCTGCGATCTACTGCCTGCACACCCCTGCTTGGGGTGTGCGGGCACCAGGGCAGAGCCGTGATCTGCTGCCTGCACATCCCTGCCTGGGGCATGCATGGAGCTTGCCCAGCCATGCGCCCTGCCAGCGCTTCTTGGACCGGTCTTCATGGAAACCCCGGTCTTGTGCTATTGCGGCCCCACTCCTCCTGGGGTCTCCATGGAAATCGGTCACAGTGATGTGAGCCGGGGCTGCTGGGAAACGGAGTTTGGCTGCTGGCCGGACCTGCCATTTTGCCCACCCCTGGTTTAAAGGCAGCTGTGTTGCTCAGCACATGCAGCAGGGTGTTGCCTGGTGCCATAGGACTATTTGGAGAGAGGGGTTTGCTGCCTTGGCACCAGTTTTCTGGATCTGAGTCCAGACTGCCCTTTGAAGAGCTCTTGGGATGACATTGGGGCATAGCCTAAAGTTCAGGACCCTTCTGGAAAATTGGGATGGCTGACGGGGCTGCGTCCCATCCGGGGATAAACAGAATTCAGGTTGTTTTAAAAGGAAAAAGAATATTTTTTTGTTTTTACTGTACTTTTTGTTACCGTAGATGAGCTGATTGACCTTCCTTTTAAACCCTGACCTGGTGTTTTCAGAGGCAGCCTGGGTGTCTGATTATAGCCCCTGTTACTGTCCAAACTGGGGAGACCATTGACAGATGTCAGTGGAAGATCCCCGCTACAGAAGGATGCAGAGTGCTCAGTGGGGCTCTGCACCCCCATTAGGAGAGGGGTGGTTTGTCCTAGAGAAGACTATTGAGACCTTGATGTTTTATACTGATGATCAAGTCTGTTCAGACTCCAGCATGTGTTCAGACACACATGGGATCTTGTGCTACTTTGCAAATGGCTATACAAACTGAGCGGTCCCAGATCTTCCTACCTACCCATTTTCATGCTAATGTCTGCTTCTTTATGTTGAAACATAGGCTTTGGAGTTCATTAGGCAAAGCAAGTTCCTTAGGCAAAGAATTCACTCCTTAAAACTATGTATGTGAAGAGGTTTTATTTAAGTATTGAAATGAAGGGTTTTTTCTTTATGTATGGCTCCCTCCCTCCCTCCCTAAATAAAGTAATTAAAGTAGGTCTACAAAAAGAGACAGATGGGGTACATCTGGAGACTGCCCTGGGATATATTCGTGTCTACGTGCAAAGAAAAATGATTTGCTTCCAATCCATTGCTGAAGTTTCCCGTTCTTTCCAGACGACAATGGCCTTAACCCGGTATGGGCGACATGTTCGGAGCAAGTGAAGTTTGAAATTTATGATCCTAACCTGGCATTTCTGCGCTTCGTGGTTTACGAGGAGGATATGTTCAGTGATCCCAACTTCTTAGCCCACGCCACCTTTCCCATCAAAGGAATCAAGTCAGGTAAAGATCAATAGGTGTGATAAATCCTTGAGTAAGGAAATGTAATCTTTAGCACAGTTGGCATCGTGCTTCTTGCTTTCAGCTGGAGCGCTCTTGGGAAAGACCTGCCTGGAATGTAAATACAACATCGCCGTTTTTATGTGGGTTGTTGAGCCCGTTCGGAAGAAACTTTTAGACAGATCTCTCCCCACCACCAAATTCTTCCTATTTCTTGCATCTCTCTCCACTAGCAAATTCTCCTTAATTCTTGCTGTAAGAGGAAAGGATTATGTAGAACAAATTCCATCAGTAACTGGACAACGGGTAGGGAGCTACTGTTGCTACAATGCAGCTGTACCCCAGCAGGTGTTAGAAGCAGCTTCAGTGCCCTCAGACCTATGAGTTTTAAGAAGGGTGGATTTAATTCCCCCCCTCCTGAAGGTTGATGGTAAACACTAAAAGAGGCCAGTCTTTCTCCTACTGTCTTTGGCTCTCAGCTCATGCTTTATTCTGAGGGATGTAGCAGCACTGGTGCTGTGCTCTTCATGCTGCTCCTTCTGTGATATGATTGTGACACAGTTGTGACAATTTAATGTGTTTTGCCGCAGTCTCCATTTCACCGAGGGGAGCGAGTCCCTGAATGAGTTCTGATGAAATCCTTGCTAAATACTTTAGCTTTTCTCTAACGGCTCCAGATGTGGACATCCCTTGAGTTAGTTTCAGACTTGCCCACCTCCAGTTGGGTTTGCAAGGGTGGGTGAAACAAGAGATCGTTCTTGTCTTCCTGCTGCTTTCTTGGCCAATTCCCAGAAATGGAGCAGGTGGATGGAAGGGGATGGACGTACCCAGTTCTGTGAAGGTACAACTGCACCAGCCCCCCACCACTTCCACTTTAATTATTGTTGCAAACCCTCTCCCCAGGCTATAGGTCAGTCCCTCTCAAGAATGGTTATAGTGAAGACATAGAGCTGGCTTCCCTTCTGGTTTACTGTGAGATGCAGCAAGTTCTGGTAAGTGCAGAACCATTTCCCACCTCCCCTTCCTCCTATGGCTTGCATCGGTCTGCTTTGTGATGACTGAGGCGATAATTTAGCTCCTTGTGCCTGTTGCATGGTGACTCTGAGCGCTCTCCTCCATTCCAGCATGCTTCGTAACCTCAACTCAGTTGCTGCGTAGGTGGTGGGATGCCTCGCATAGGCAAGGTCTGTGGACGCGGCAGCACTGGTGCTGGTCTCCGGCAGTGGTTATGACAGTGAGCTGCTACCTCTGGGGTTTGGTTGGGTGGTGCAGTGCCAAACACTGTTCAACCAGCTTTTACCATCACTTTACACACTGGGGGTGGATATTGTTTTTTAAGTACACTGTCAATGCCTTTTACCTGAGATCTGCTTCAGAAATCCAGCTGGTTAGTTGCCTGGGGCTGTCTTTTAAAGGGCTGTTCATAGCTGCAGTGCACCTCCCAAACCATCAGCACCAAGGCATTAGCACATCTCTCACTCTTTTGCCCCTTTCTGCTTGTTAAGGCTAAATGAAGATGCAGCACAACTGTCTGTTTACACTGACTGTCACCTTGGGGTGGCGATGCCGGAGCAGGAGAGCTTTCAAAGGGTTGTTTTTTTCACAGTCTGCGGCAGAGAGAGACTTGCCATGGCCATTAAACTCTTACAACATTGGCCAAACCAATCTAGAAGTGTCATAAAAAGATCAAAGCTATGCCCATCTGTTCTACCGCTCAAAAAAACCTTCCATAAAATGTTATAATTTAATAAGAAGCCTGTTTATATAAGCCCATCTGCATACACTTAGAGAGAGAAATGTAACGTTATTAAAGGGATTACAGATGGTTGTGGAATTTGTCAAGAAACAGAGATGTCTAAATGCTATAAAAGCATGTGCATGTGTAAATTATCATATAGGACCATATCCGGCGCCTCTCCGTGTCCGCTGGAGTCTTTCCAGCTATTGTGGGAATGTAAGCACATTAAGAGAGTTATTAAATTTAGAAGCATATCTTATTCTCTTGCAAATTGATTTACTTGCTTTGGAAAGTATGAATATTTTTGAAGCAGTCTTTGATTACAATCAGTTCAGCTCACACCTGTGTTTGTGGGCTGTTAAAAATCTAGCTTTGCTAGATACAATTATTTGTGAGATCCAGTGATGACTGGCAGGTGTTGCAGTGATTACACCTGTTCACCAGTAGTTAGGAATCTGCATGTCCTCATTTGTGACCAAGGGAGCAAGGATGGTCCCCTTAAAAAAAAAAAAAAGAAAGAAAACAAGCCCTGATTGAGTGTATTTTTAAAAAATCCTTAGTGAGTTGGGCAGAGGCAGGCAAGGAGCTGCAGCAGGGTGTGTGCTCAGTGAGGTCCCTTGATTTTTGAACTGTTAACCTTGCAGCAAGTTGCAAAAGTCATCTCTTTTTCTCAGCACTGGGGAGCTGGTGGAGTAAGTGATGAAAAGGGCTTGATTTGCTGTGAAAGTGTCTCACTTGATTCTGTTTACTGATCACGTTTGGTGAAGTGGGATAAGCAGTTTGTTTTGCTATTAGGGTAGACGTGAAGACCCCAGACCTGCCAACACTCACGCACACGAGTGATTCCTGGGAGAGACGGCTCGTATGCCTGAGGTCTGAAATTGCATAAATAGTTCCCCTTTTCAGAGGGGGTGTCTCAAGGTTTGATGAATCTTTGCGAAGAGCTTTGAGGGCCCCTTCTCTAGAGGGCAGCATACAGCTACAGATACTCAGGCAGATACAGATTTCAAGCCCAATCCTGCAAACACCAAGGGCCAGATCTGCCCGCTCCATCTTGGAAGAGCACACACCAACTGCAGATGCTTCCTCAGCCTGATGAAGGGTTTTTAAACCCGAAAGCTTGCTAATAAAATTTTTTCCAACTATTTAAATTGGTCTAATAAAAGGTATCAGATTCACCCAAACAACCTCGCCTGCCCATGGTGGAAAATTAGACCAACAGAGGATCTGCCCGGTTAGTTTAGCACTCGCTGCCATTAATGATTCCACTGACCATTCGGTATTTTTGGGATCTGCTATTTAATTAGGTGTTTAATGAGAGAGAGAGAGAGGGCTACTTGAGCATGAAGCACCAGGCTCAGTAGTGATTGCATGTTGGACTCTTGTGGATGTGACGTTGAAAAATGGAAGACCTTTTTCAACCTTTTTCAAGACTGTTCCAAGATAATGGCCATCACAGTGTGCTGCTTCCCTCTTTATCCTCAGCGGTATGGCACAATTACTGGAATACTTGTTTTCTCATTTGTCTCCTACGCATTTACATTACACAGACACATGCTATAGTCTCGGGAGGGGTTTGTTTTTGACTAGTTTCTTCATTTCTTTCAGCAATTTCTCTCTTGTTTCTAGATATGTTTAATTAAAACAGGCTCAATTTGATGACAAACACGCTTTTGGGCAACAAGAAAGTGGCGAGGGAAGGAGAGGGGGAAGCGGTCACGTATTGCAGTGGTTTCTTTTCTTTTTTCCTGAAGGAAAGCGAGGAAGAACTTTACTCCTCGTGTCGACAGCTTCGGAAGCGCCAAGCAGAACTGAACAACCAGCTGTTCTTGTACGACACCCATGTGAATTACAGGAACCCGAATAGAGACGCCCTATTGAGCGAGTTGAGCGTGAATGAAAACCAGCTACAGTTGTACCAAGACACGTGCAACAGGAGGTAGGGTCCCCATCTTTATCGTGGTCAGGGGATACCAAACAACACACCTCAGATCTAAGGATAAAGTAGGGCACAGAGATCTTGGCTTTGTTCAACAATTGATCGAGTGTGCTAAGAATTGGAGGGAGAGAGTAAAGAGAGTCCTTCCTGGGAGAAGTGTCTGTATTTGTCTGGCCTGACCATGGCAAACCTTAAAGTAAAAACAGCAAACCCAGCCAAAACAGTAGGCTTGTACACCAGGAAAGGGAATTTGAGGCCCTGGACCAGACTGATCAGTCACTGCCAGTGACAGCCTTAGTCACATTGTACATTCCTGGGAGCTTATTCTTCTCCTTACTAGTCTGTCCAAACAGCCAAATAAATGACCCCATCTCCCACAATGAGGCCTATGTACGCTCTTAAAATTGCGCTATGTGCATATTAACATGTGCAGGATTAGAACATGATTCTGGTTTGGCCCGAGCCCAAGAGAAGATGCAATGGTTAGCCATAGTGACAATGAGGACTTGCTAATCCAACATCAGCACAGCATCCTGAGGAAGAAGACCCCTTACTCCAAGTCCAACTCTCAGTTCAGATCCTGTTTGCTTCCCAAACTAGGAGTTATGTTTTCGAGTGGGGTTGCTAGTAGGATGGGCAGCCCTGGAGAAAGAAATACAGTTGCTGTTGGACTCAGTGTTGCACTGGGAGAGGAGCTGAGCCCGAAAGTGGCACCATCTGCTCAAAAGATTGGAAGCTCCTGAAAAGATCTTTGCTGCTCCTAAAAGAACAGCTGGGGACGGGGGAATGTTGTTCCAGTCAGACGGCAACCCATCAGGGCTCTTCTGAGAAGTGAGCCAGGGCACAACCCAAATCAGAAATATGGCATGACTGATCAGTAGGAATAGGACTGCTTGCCATCTCCCCAGAGAAGACTGCAGAAAACAGGCTGGAAGTCATCTTATCACCCTGTGGATAAGGTGGGGTGGAGAATTAATGACTGACCCATTAGGAATGGGTGACTAAGCTGAGCTAGTATTATTCTCTGGCATTCGGAGCACAGAGCTGGGAGCTGAGTTCCTTGAGTTGTTTCTCCATCTCTTATGTAAACTGTGTGCTCTTAATGTTTTTGGGGAGTAGGTTGTAGCCGTGTTGGTCTAAGGACATAGGCAGACAAGGTTCCTTGGGTGAATTTGATATCTTTTATTAGACCAACCCAAATAGTTGGAGAATAGTTATTAAGCAAGCTTGCTTAATAACTATTCTCCACTCTTAATTTTTTTGGGGGTTGGTTTTTAGCCGTGTTGGTCTAATAAAAGATATCAAATTCACCCAAGGAACCATGTCTGCTTAATGTTTTTGTGTATTGAATGGAGACAGCTCCTTGGGGCATCCTGTATTTGCAATCCCTGGCTGGAATGCATTTTAAATATATGTCACTGTTATCACAAAGAAACTTCAGGAAACGTTTTCTGTACAGTAGACACTAGGAAAATGGGGAGAATTTGTAGCCATATATTCAAAGATTGGGCAACATGGATGTGCTCAAAAGGAAAAATATTTGTATGTGCAAACACTCTT